CTCAGCATGTGTCTAGGGTCCATCCATGCTGTTGACCGCTTCAGTGCTTAGGCCCCTTGTAGGGTGGAATGACATGTCATTATATGGAGATACCACAGTTTGATGGGCATTTGGGTTGCTTCCATTTTTGGGCTATTATGAACACATTGTATGCGGGAAACGTATTTATACGTTATTTATACGTTCTACCAGTTCCACCTGTTAGCGCGCGATAAAAACTACCCACAAGCAATGTGTGAATAATGTTCTCTGAACATGCACATGTACGTTTTTGTGTGGACATGTTTTTATCTCCCTTGGTATAGTAGATGCCTGGGGTGAAGTTTCTGGTTCTTATGGTAACTCGGTGTTTAACTTTTTAAGGATCTGCCAAACTTGTCCACCGTGGCTGCATCATTTTGCAATCCCAGCAGCAATGTATGAGGGTTCCAATCACTTCACATCCTCGTCAGCACTTGCTATTATCAGCCTGTTGGGTTATAGCCATCCTAGTGATTGGGAAGGGATGTCTCATTGTGGTTATCATGTCTTCTTCATATATACACACACAAACAAAACAGAATTAAGAAATAATTCTAGGCAGATGTTGGCTACTGAAAAGGCACTAGTTAGGTCTAATAAGTGGATTTTACCTTCAAAGCTTGACCCCTTCTGTGGCGAACAGTATTTTTGGTTCTCAGAACAACTAGATTGTTCCACTGACTTTATTTCTGTTCCATAAACATTTATTGAGCCCCTTTCATGTTCCAGAAACTGTGCTAAGTGCTCAGATACAAGACAAATGAGGTGAGTCCCTGCCTGTGGGAGCTTACAATCTAGTAGGAAAATAAGAGGAGGTCACAGTTATTGTTGAGTTGGGTAGGATGTGGTAAGTGCCATCTAAAGACTAAAGGTGACACACAGGAAGGACAGCCAAAGGTCAGGTGGGGGAAGTCCCCTGAGTTGATGGGTGGAGTCCACATCATTCCTCACCCACAGAAACAAAAGAACCCCCAGATGAACCAAGGAGATGAGGTACGACTTGCGTGCTTTAGACATCCACATGTTCAAGGACCTTATGTTCCCCAGAGGCCACTGGGGCCGAGGATTCACAGTTCGCAGCCTTCGTGAGGAGGCTGGGGGCCCAGGTGGCTGTGGGGCTCGCTGGCTGCAGCGGGTCCGACCCTCACAGCGCCCCCAGGGGGTCACTGCCCTCCAGCAGCTGGTCCTCAGAGTCCTGGAAAAGAAGAGGTGGTCTGTGAACGCCTGGAGAGAGCCCAGCACCTGCCGCTTATCGAACCTTCCAGCTTGAGTGTGTCTTTTGGCCACTGGTCTGAGGTCTAGATGGGGTTCAGGACACACTACCCCAAAATGTGACACGTTGGCATATTACATATCTTAAGCTGAAGGAATAAGAAATCCCACAGGAAAACGGCAGAAGCAGGAAGGCCACTCTGACCTCCTCCCCCTCCCCACCTCCCCCAAAACAGGTCAGAGAACCCCCAGGTGAAGGTCCCTCCCTGTAGCAGGAGGAAGGAAGACACTCAGCAGAGATGAGGAATTTGGGGCCAGGAAACCTGTACAGACAAACCCAGTTAAACTGACCTTATCTCCCCACTTACTTCTTCACCATTCACTACCCAGCCCAGACCTGTCTCAACAATTCTTCCCAAGTGTACCGTTTCTTTGTCTACAGCAGTGGTTCTCAACCTTCTGGCCCTTTAAATACAGTTCCTCATGTTGTGACCCAACCATAAAATTATTTTCGTTGCTACTTCATAACTGTAATGTTGCTACTGTTATGAATTGTCATGTAAATATCTGATATGCAGGATGGTCTTAGGCGACCCCTGTGAAAGGGTCGTTCGACCGCCAAAGGGGTCGCGACCCACAGGTTGAGAAACGCTGGTCTACAGGGTATAAGAGCTTCCTGTGCTGGTCACTTCTTTGGTCTTCATTCTCCCGTGAAGCCTCCCATGGACATGTAAACATTCAATGCCATGTATACGCTTTTCTCTTTTGTGAACTCGCCTTTGTGGGTTTATTTGTCAGACCAACTAGGAATCTGGAGAGGGTTGCTGAAAACTGTTCCCTCCCCTGCAGCCTGAAATACGACTCTCCCCCAAGTTCCCTGTGAACACACGTGTTGGGAACATTCCTGCACATGGCCGTCTCATGTCTCCCAACATGAGACAGGATGTGTGGTGGTTAGGGCCCCATTCTGGGGATAGTTGCTGCTGTTTGATGCTTGTGTGCCCTGGAAAAATCATTTAAGCTCTGCGGTAGTTTCCTCATCTATAAAGAGTCCTAACAGGTGTGAGGATTAAGTCAGCTGCCACGTGAAAGAAGGTATAAGCACCCCAAGATGGTGGCTATTCATATGATGACCACAAAACTCCTTTTAGATGGAAAATACATCGTCTGAGCCCTGGCCAGTTTTCTCAGTGGTTAGAGCATCAGCCTGCAGACTGAAGGGCCGAAGGTTCAATTCTGATCAAGGGCACATACCTCGGTTGTAGGCTCGATTCAGAACCTGGTCAGGGCATATGAGGGAGGCAACCAATCCATGTGTCTCTCTCAATCTCTACCCTTTCCTTCCACTTTCTCTAAAAATCAATGGAGATAATATCCTCGGGTGAGGATTAATAACAACAAAAAGATATCATCTGAGAGAGTCAATCAGAAGCCATACTCAAGAAGCTTATCACCGTCTCTAGCCCTGATCACTCAAATTGTTAATTAGCATAATGGATATGGTCAAAATGTGTGGGTTGGCTACAGGTATTCAATAGGTTACCCTCTCCCCTCCCCTCCCAATATAAAAGGCATGAGATTCCAGCACGTCACATTTGGGATGGCACCCTCGGCTTAGGATTCCTGGTACTGGAACGTTTTTGCCCCCCTTGGCCTGATGAGACGGTTTAGCTCAGCGGTTCTCAACCTGTGGGTCTCGACCCCTTTGGCGGTCGAACGACCCTTTCACAGGGGTCTCCTAAGACCATCCTGCATATCAAATATTTACATTACGATTCATAACAGTAGCAACATTACAGTTATGAAGTAGCAACGAAAATAATTTTATGGTTGGGTCACAACACGAGGAACTGTATTTAAAGGGCCAGAAGGTTGAGAACCACTGGTTTAGCTGAATCCTGTCTCGAGGAGGCTCTCACCTGCCTCAGGTGCATCTCAGGCACTGCTGAGGGAGCTCTCAGCTGAGAAGGCATGGAGCACATTGAACAGGATTGATTACTTTTTTGCTCTGCTTTTTAAATGAGGTTGATTTCAACATAATGTTTGCAGAAATAAAATATTAATAAATGCAATCTAGCTGTTATCCTTGCAGTTTGGACTAAAAACCCTTACATGGGTTTGATTAAAAAACAAAATAAGGCCTGGCCAGTGTGGCTCATTGGTTGAGTGTCCACCTATGGACAGGAGGTCACAGTTCCATTCCTAGTCAGGGCACATGCCCTGGTTGCTGACACGATCCCCAGTAGGGGGTGTGCAGGAGGCAGCTCATCAATGATTCTCTCTCAGGATATTTTTCAATCTATTGCAACTACAGTACATCTGCTGCCACAGGCACTCAGAACCACATGGCATTTACATTGGGTTCACGGCAGAAGAATAACATCTGTTGCACTGTACAAGCTTCAAATGGTGCAATAAAATATTTTTGTAATGTTTCAGTGCAATTTACAAAAATTCAACAATCGTAACATATATAGTCTTGGGAGAAGGGACAGCATATGTCCATGCAAGAAACAAAGACAACAGCTGGCTTTGGTTATGATTGCAGGAGGGTTCTAGACCCACACAAGCCAAGATTCAAGTATTTCCTTGGACCCGAGTAAGGCCATCAGCTCAGACTGCCGAGGTACAAAAGGTCATTCATTCAGCAGACCGCTGGCAGTTTTTCTTATCTTCATACTAGAGGCCCGGTGCACGGATTTGTGCACCAGTGGGGTCCCTTGGCCTGGTCTGCATCCTCTTGCAATCCAGGACCCCTCGGGGGATGTTGGAGGCCCGGTGCATGGATTCGGCCCAATCCCTGCATGCTAGGCTGAGGGACCTGACCAGTGCACAAATCCATGTGCTAGGCCTCTAGTATGCATATAAGATCTATGGCTAATCTCTCCCACCCTCCCCCCTCTCCACTTCCTTCTGAGATTCATCAGTTTGTTCTGTGTTTCCATGCCTGTGCATTGAGCATCTGCTCCCTGATGGTCAGTGTGTGTCATAGCTACCAGTTGAACAGTCGAATGGTTGAACAGTTGAATGGTTGCTTAGGCTTTTATATATATAGATAAAAGGAGGAATTAAGTGTTATTCCAGTTTCTCAATCCAGACCTGGTAATACAAGGAGGGTGTACCTTCTACCTTCAGTGTGCGTGGGGTCCCCTGCCACGGGGTCCCCCTGGGTAGAGATGAGTGGAGGCCCCAGTGAGGTCAAGGATCACCAACTCCAGAAACAAATGGAAACCCAGAGCAGAGCAAGCTCCCCTAAATACAAAGGACCTCATCAAAGGAAGGAAGCCCCACAAGCCAGAAGCAGCTGACAACTGGCAGAACAATCTCAGACAACAACATACACACATACCTTTTAAAGGCTTTAAAGCAGCAGTCACCAACCGGTGGTCTGCAGACCACTGGTGGTCCGTGAGGTCTGAAAGGTTGGCGACCGCTGCTTTAAAGGCTTAATGTCTTATTTTGCAGCAGCAACCTTAGAAATGTCTGTGGCAGAATTTAGCCCATTTCTTCCCCTTGTCACCTGATCATGAGGCTGGTGTGGGCCAACTCTGGTCCTCCCTACTTCTAACTGTCGGGGCATCTGCAATCCACCCAGAGGCACCCCGGAACACTGAGCACCACACGGCTTCCCTCCGCCCGCAAGGCCGGCTTTTAGGCCAGCTGCCCCAGATGCGCTGTGGAGGCTGGCTTTTCTCAGTGGGAAGCGTTCCCCTGAGACTTGCTGGAAGCCATCATTCCCCCGTATCCTAGCGGAACCTGTTCCTAGAGAAATCATGCCAACTCACCATGAAGGGGTCGTAGGAAGGTTCTGGGGGAGCCGAGGTGGCGCTCTCGTACATGGGGTTCGAGATATTCTCAGGCAGCTGCTTGCCAAGAGCTGTGACATCGAAATCCTCTTCACACTACTCGGAAAGACCAGTCCCGGGGCTGAGGCAGATGTCCCAGGGCCGGAGCATCTCCTCCCAGCAGGCAGGCAAAGCAAGCCCCGCCCCTACCTCCACCTGCGGGCCTTTTCCTTTTTAACGGTGTTTCATAGACATCTGGTGCATACACGGTAACACGCACCGATCTTAAGTGTTCAGCTCACAGACTTCTTAATATGTCCATCCAGGTGGGACCACCCCCAAGTCAGCAGATAGGGCATGTCCATCCCCCCAGAAAGTGCTCTCAGGCCTCTCGCCCTGCCCCCCACCCCCAGTATGAAATCCCCTCAGCATAACTTATGTTCTGATCTCCGTCACCCTGGAGTGGTATTGTCTGCTCTTGAACTGAGTTTAAAAGGATTCTCACAGCCTGTACACTTGTGCTAAATATGATGTTTTTGAACTTTGCCCCTGGAGCTCATACAGAGGCAGGTGATCTGCTAGAGAAGGAAGTGAACTGCTCGGGGACGCCATAGGCTTCACCTGGCACATCTGGAGGAGGCAGTGGGGGAGGGGAGGACAGGCCAGGACGGGTAGGAAGCTCAGAAGGGAGGGTGCTCTGCTGCTGGGCTGCTGCCGAACCCAGTCCCCAGGGTCAGCCCAAGGTTAGCCAAGATCCGCTGACAAGTTAAAATAGGGTGAAATGTGGTTCAGTGGTTGAGTGTCGACTCATGAACCAGGAGATCACAGTTTGATGCCTGGTCAGGGCACATGCCTGAGTTATGGGCTCAATCCTTAGTGTGGGATGTGTATGTGTGTGTGTGTGTGTGTAAATATATATATATATTTATTTAAATATATTTTTATTTATTTCAGAGAGGGAGAGGGAGGAAGAGAGAGATAGAAACATCAATGATGAGAGAGAATCATTGATCAGCTGCCTCCTGCATGCCCCACACTGGGGGTGGAGCCTACAACCTGGGCATGTGCCCGGACTGGGAATCGACCCGTGACCTTCTGGTTAATGGGTTGATGCTCAACCACTGAGCTACGCCGGCCGGGCTAAAAAATATATTTAACAAAAAATAGGGTGAAATGTGTTTCACTGGCTGCAGTAAGAGGCCCCACCACGCGGGTCACCAGCCCTGTCTCCCACCTCAGACTCAGCCTTGAAGCCCAAGCCAAGCCTGGTGGGTGCCTGTCTCGTGAACCCTCCAAGGGGAGCGCGCCTCCTGGGCCTGGTGAATTTGCTTCCACGCCAGAGCCCTGGCTAGAAGCTCGAAGTGTCTGTGCTATTGGCGGCCCATCACCCTCTCACCAAACCCGGTCTCAGCCAGGAAGAGGGGCTGGGCGCTCCGGCTGCTGCTGCTCTTAGGGGCAGAGACCCAGCCTGGCGGCAGGAAGTGTGTGCCAAGCACCCACCTGCTGTGAGCTCTGGGAAGCAGCCAGTCAGCTGAAGTAGCCCAGAGCCAGGGCTGGGCTGCAGAGAGGACCCCATCCCCGTGTTCCCATTTTTCTCCTTCTTACCTCGAAATGCTGGAAGCCAATTGTTCTCCGGTTTAGTCGGAAGTAGGAATATGCAGCCAAAGCGATGGCCCCGAGGACCAGGGTGACGGCAAAGAATATCCCTGTTCCCAAGCCAGTGTGGGCTGCAGTCTGAACACAGAAAGGGGAGGGTCGGTATGAAATCTGGTGACTTCCCAAAAGAGGCGTGTTCTGGAGCCCATCCCATTCCTGCGGGCCTGGGCGTCTTGGAGCAAGTTGGAATAGAATTAGTGATAAAATGGTTAACACGGATCTGCCCTTACTGCTGCCAGAGTCTAAGTCCCTTACGTGAGAAACCCATTTAAACGTATAGTAGCCCAGAGAAATAGGGATAATCATTCTTGTTTCCATTTTTTAAATAACATCTTTATTTTTTTGTTACTCCTCACCCGAGGAGATTCTCTCCATTGATTTTTAGAGAGAGTGGAAGGGAGGGAGAGAGACAGAGAGAGAAACATCCATGTGAGAGAGACACATCGATTGTTTGCCTCCCCTACGTGCCCCGGCCAGGCCTGGGGATCAAGCCTGCAACTGAGGTACATGCCCTTGTTCAGAATAAAACCTGGGACCCTTCAGTTCAAGGGCCGATGCTCTATTCACTGAGCCAAGCCAGCTAGGGCCTTGTTTCCATTTTTACTAGGGGGAACTGAGGCACAGAGAGGTTAAGCACTTGCCCCTAATATCATGCAGCCAATGAGTGGTAGTGTTATCTTTGTAATTAGCTGGTTTATTAATAAAAGCAAGCAAGAAAAGGGAAGTCAGATATGGTAAGCATGGTCACCTGGGTTGCTTCACCAGGAAGCTGTAGCTTCACACAACATTGCTCCCCCAAGGGGACTAACCCTCTCCTTCCCCCATCCGGTACTGGATTGTTGCAGGGAGAAAGGGGAGATAGGCACATGCACAGAAGTTGGGGCGGGGGCAGGGAGGTGCTTGCCTGTCAGTCTAGCTTGGGGAACAATGGATTGGTGAGAAGGTGGACCCCATCAGAAGTGCACAACATCACGGAAAGTTAATTGGTTAGTTTGTATAAACTCCTAGTTAAAATCCCCAAAGAGTTCCCTGCCTCTTGTTCTCTCTGGCTCTGTGACCCGAGTTTGCCTATTCTCTCTCCATAGCCGCATGGCCGTAGCAGCCACATGGCCCATGGCCATGCCGACGCCACAGCAGGATGCTGGACTGTACCTTATGTATGTATGTATGTATGTATGCATGTATGTATGTACTTTAATATGGAGCAGAAACTATGGGCAGTGGCCTTGATCCTGGCCGTGCTGAAGACAAGATTGGACTTCTTTCCATTGCAAAATGGACATAGATGGGACCTTGGAGGGGAACCCCCTTAAGTTGACATCATCAATAAAGCTTTCCATGCAGCCCTATCCTCCCCTAGGGGTCTCAGGAATTCTTTTCTTTGAGGCCCTAAGAACTCCACTCCCACTGATAATAGTAGAGCTGGGATTTGGAGCTCATGCCCTTAACTGCTGTGCTATGGAACTTCCTAGCATCCAGCTGTGCTCCCTGACACTTTTGAACAAAGTTAGGATACGAACACCAGCTACCAGACTGTTCCATAATATGTACTATGTGACAGGGGCTAGCCTCATTATTTTACATCAACTCATAGTCCTCCCAGGAACCCAGGGAGTATGGCGTTATAACCCCCATTTTGCAGGTAAGAAAAATGGGGTTCAGAGGTGTTCTGGGACTTGTCCAAGGTCACACAGCTATGAAGTGGAGGGGCTTAGGATTTTTCACTCTCCTCCCAGTCGTTTCTCCACTGGCCCATCCTGTCCCTTTCATTCAACAGATATTAATGGTGACAGGTGTGTTTCTAATGCACCGGAGTGGGGGTGGGATAACCGAGGGCCAGGCATCCCTGAGGCCAGCTGCCACGATTGGGGGAGACTCCTCCAGTCTCCAGGGGAGGGGGATGTGTGGGCTTCCAGCAACACTTTGCCTCTTGGAGAGTGGACATTGGGCTTCTCCTGGCCCCTCCCAGGAACCCTGGGTACTCACCACTGGGGCAGGAGGTGCTTTTAAAGGCCTGGAAATGACATGAATGATCCCATTGGAGGCAAAGATGTCCCACTGTAGAATGGCTCTTCCATCGACAAACCTGGTCTCCTAGGGAAATGAGAAGAGGGTTGATGAAGATTGATGGTCACCTGACTAGTTCTCCTCACATGATGGCCCTTCTATGGAAGGAAGTTGTTCATTTTGCCCCGGATCTGGAAGCCTAGGTTTCAGGCGTATCTTCATCAATAGGCAGCACAGGACTCCGCTCACCACCTGGCCAGCCCAGAACAATTAGTTGCCTTTGTGCAAACAACTTGACCCAAGAGCTGCAGAGAACCTGAGAAATCATCTGTCCAGCCCCCTTGTCTGATAGGTGAGGGTGAAGGAGGAAAATGGTTTGTCCAAGATCACCCAGCTAGTAAGTGGCAAACCTCATGCTTCTGGTCTCCAGAGCCATTGCTCTGAGCATCACACCACACTGTGGAGAAGAAATGTTTAAGTGATCTTATCCCTTGCTGATCAAAGTGTGATCCATTGGCTTGTGGTGTGGCAATCACCCTAGAGTTCACTGGAAATGCAGAAGCTGAGGCCCACACTCCACCTGTTGGATTCCACCCTGCATTTTAATAAACCTGCAAGTAGTTTACATGCCCGTTAAAATGTGAGAAGCACTGGTCTAAACTACTGATCTTCAATAATAGAAATCTTTTATTAGGTAACAATTAAAAATCATACTATTTCACATTTGCTACATGTCAGGCACTGTTCTCACATATCACAAGCCTTGAATCAC